GTGCCAAGCGCAAGCAATACTGATAGTTATATTTACAACACAACCCCGTTCGTAGAAATCACGTTCATCAAGTGTCAGATCTGCCAGTCGAGTACCCGAAATAAAACATAAATACATGTACGTACTTTACCAACGCATTGCTAGACGACATTAAATACTACAAATTAATTTAAAAATAATTTGAAACATTTTAAGATAAAATGTAAAAATCTTATCTCCTGCCATAAACTGTTTCTATTTACCAATTAAAATTACTGATAATCAAAAAGAAAAATAATGTTTTTTTTAACAAAAACTGTTGCATATATTTATGGACTTAGTTCGCCCTTTGTATAGTATAATATTTAAAATAAGGCCCTAATATGATTGTAACAAATAATATACTTCAGCTTCGCGGCGTCACATGAACTCCATCTCGATCAGGCTTTGTCCGGTTTCCCTATCTATTGACCAAATGATGAAGATGACCCTGTTTTCTTTTTTAAAATTTTATTTATATCTTGAATATACCATCTTTTAACATTATATACTAAAATAAAGGGGTTTCTGGAACTCAAAAAAAATGCGGTGCGCAAAGATGATCGTCTCTCCCATAGCCGTCACATACACTTTTTACTGTTTTGACTAATAAATCTAATTATAAGCAGATTACAACCGCGCGTGAACCGTTATGGCGGAGGATTCGGTTTGTAAGTTGAGAAGCATGATGCAAGAAAAGTGTTGGATGGCTAAAGGGAGAGCGAAGAAGGTTGTGATCGTAGCCTATTTTCGTTGCCATGGAGGTATCGTCAGAATATATAATCCATACATAGTATTTAGGAATGGGTAAGTTTTAAAATCTGGAAAGGAAGTTGTCGGTCGGTATATTTAAATATACCTGTACTGGGGTTGAGCTGGAGTGGGCGAGGGGTTGGGGCTGGCGAGCGGCGTTGCGAGTGGGCGTTGGGGTGAGCGCCAGGATGGGGGGGGGGGGGGGGGGGGGGGAACGTGGGGGGGGGGGGGGGGGGGGGGGGGGGAGGGGGGGGGGGGGGGGGGGAGGAGGGGTGGGGGGGGGGGCGTGAGTACTGGGTGAGCACCAGGGTGGGCGAAAGGATTGCGGCCGCGGTGGGCGCTGGCGTGTGGAGTTAGGGTGAGCGCGGAATGAAACGCGGGTGAGCCCTGCGGTGGGTGCTGGGCGGGCCGCAGCGGTGGACATTAAGTGGCACTAGGTAGTCGAAAGGGTGAGCGTGAAGGATGCTGGGCGAGCCTTGGGTGCGAGGCTGGTGACGCTGGGTGAGTGTAGGTGGGCCGTGGGGATGTCGCTGGATGGATGGCTGGGTGGGGGTACTGGATGGGCACACGTGGGCGAAGGAGGTTGAGGCAGCGTTGGGCGCGTGGGTGTTGCGAGGCGGTGAGCGCGGAATGGAACGCGGTGTGAGCCCTTAGTTGCGCTGGGTGGGGGCGTGGGTGGGCACTGGATGGATTGGGTGGGCGCTGGGTGCAGTAAAAAGTGAGCGAAGGGTGGGCGATGACCGTGCAGCGCAGGAGTGGACCCACTAGGTGGACGCTAGTTGAACGCTGGCGTGCGCAGTGTGCGCGCTGGGTGGCTCGGTCCGGCGGACGGTTGCGTCGTGCCCACGCAGGGCAGGGTGTGGGCGGGCAGACCTTAGACAAGGGCTGTGCGCGCACGAGCGGGGGCGACAAGTGGGGCGCGGTCAGACCGTGGGTTGGCGCGACCTAGTCACGACGGCGGAGTGCGTGGGTGTGGGCTAGTGCGGTGGTGCGCTCTAGGGCGGGGCACGAGCGGGGCTGGGAGGGCGAGGGAGGGCGTGGGAGGGCGGGCGTGGGACGGGCGTGGGAGGGCCGTGGGCAGGCGTGGGAGGGCGTGGGAGGCGCCGAGGGGAGGGCGAGGGAGGGCGAGTGAGGGCGAGGAGAGGCGAGGAGGGCGAGGTGAGAGGCGAGAGATTGGCAAGATAGGGCGAGGGAAGGGCGTGGGAGGCGGGCGAGGGAGGGCGAGGAGGCGAGGAGGTGGAAGGCCGCCAGGGCGGCGTAGGGCGACGCCGTCTCGGCGGCGCGTAACGACGTTCTCGTGTTAATTCCTCCGGCAGACGCGTGTTGAGGCGCGGCGCCGCGGGCGGACCGCTGAGTGACGGCTTCTGGTTCTTCAATAAGTCGTTAGGGGCAAATTAGCGCGGCGTGCGGTCACCTCTGCTTCCCCTGCTCTTTCTCGCCCTCTCCGAGCGCCGCACCCTCGCCTGTCCCCGGGCGGCAGCGGCCGGGGTCGGAAACAAACTTCGTCGGCCACACTGTGCCTTGCGTTGCAGAGAAAATGCGACCAAGCATCACTAAACGCTCTACAAGACTACAAGACTGCTATTTAACTCCTTCTCAGGCTCGGAAGAAATCCACACTCTTTCACAATCCACAATGTTTCAAATGAATTCAACAGCTTTTTATCCGAATTCTAATATGTTATTAATATTATGGTTATTAGTATAATTATTAAATAATTCAAAAGTAGTTGGTCAAGATGTTCATGGAGATACAAATTATAAATTTTCTGGTTGTACCGAATTATGTTATTGTCCAATAATCACATCAGGTCTTCTCTCTCCCATAATTTCCCCGAACTGCTGAATATCAGGGCTGGTAAATCAAATATATGGTTAAATAAAAATAACAAGAACCGGTAATTAATGAAGAGACTAGTTTTATTATGATGTTATATCGAACGATATCATTCCCAACCTTTATCAACGACGTTTAAAAAGCCACTTTTATTTCACGTTCTACTTTCTTTTGTTCTTGAAAAATAAATCTTACAATCAATGCAACTAGTGACGTTATTAATTCATTACACCCCCAGTGCTCTAATTACGCCTCTTATAGCACCCGCGTGAGTGCACTATGTAATCATTATCGCTTTGTAGTAAGTTAAGGATCGCACCGTACACAGCCATTCGATGCAATACGATCCCGATCACAAAAATAGTTAAAAGTCGCGTCTGTCTCTCTCACAGGACGCGCGACGCCTCTTGTCCACCGCGCACCCGCTCCGCGGTCATGCGATGGCGTCTGCAGCGCGGCGGGAAGGGGAGCGGGCGACAACCCAACGCAGTTTGGGCGCAAATAGGGCGGCGATTGAGCGGCGCGGGCGAGCGAAGACAGCGAGGCAGGCGCGAGAGGGGGGCGGGGAGTGCATTTCAATTGATGCACGCTGATGGCCGATTCTCCGTCGGCCAACAGCTCCCATTACACGCGTTAGCACTACGTTAGCCGCGCGCAGGTACTTGGGGACGGCGAGTTGTCGCTCCGGCGCGCTCTCGCCCCAAACGTACGACGTTATGGACGCGAGGGCCGGGGCGGATTGTTCCTGAGGCGCACTGCCCGAAGAGACGAGCGGGCAAGCTGCGCGTGTTGAGCGACCGGACGCGGCGGAACGTCGTTCGTGTATTCTCAGCTCCGCGCTTGAAAAGATGGAAAATTATCGCCGTTAATGTCAAGAAAGCAAAGTAAAATATTAGCGTTGTCCGTGCTCCACCACCAATATTCTGTTTGCCTAGATCGCTGCATGGTGCACTTTGACGTGAACGCTAGCGTTGACGCATAGCTAAGCATGTTATTTGAATACTTTATTCTATTTTTATGAATGCGCTATTCTGATTGAACGAGACGTGTACTGACAGAAATCTCATCAATGGGACATAATTTAGCATACGTGGTTGATACATACATATTTACTTTT